TGGGGTGAGGCTCAGTGGTAGAGCCCCTGCCTAGAATCCCTCAGTGAGGGGCTGGGAGTGTGGCTCAGTGGTAAAGCACCTGCCTAGAATCCCCCAGTGAGGGGCTGGGGTGTGGCTCAGTGGTAGATCACCTGCCTAGAATCCCCCAATGAAGGGCTGGGGTGTGGTTCAATGATAGGGTACCTGCCTAGAATCTCCCAGTGAAGGGCTGGGACATAGCTCAGTGATAGAGAATTTTCTTAGCATGTGTGAGTCTCTCGGTTCCATCCCTGGCATCCTGAAAAACCTAAAGCAACCAAACACCAAGCAGACTGCACACTTCAGAAGTCCCGGGGGAGCTGAGGTGAAGCCTTTGCGTGCCTTTTCCCTATTCCAACAGCTAGTCAGGGGGGTGGGAACATAGTCAGCATTTTACATAGCATCTGAGTTTTAGGGGTGCTGCTGAGCTTGTGGCTTAGACTCAGGGTTACTTCTAGATCCACTCATGGCCCGAGATGGCCCTGACGATTTTCCCATCAGCTTCTCAGGCTCTGTCTCCAAGAGAGGGCTTGTTCCCCACCAAGGGGCTCACTCAGGCCCGGCTGGCAGCCGCTTGTCCGAACCCCTCTAGTGTGGGAACCTGCAGCTCAGAAGGGATTTGTCAGTGCATGTACGCTTGTCTTCTGTACACCCAGCTCCTCAAGTCCCAGCTCCCCTCCACGCTTGGCAGCCTTGCCCGCCGCTTGCTGTTGACCTTGGCTGCGGGTCTGCAGGGTCTGGAACTCTCACACCATAAATTCCTGTCTTCTAGGAATCCAGCCTGGGAAAGAAAGGAAACATGGAGGAGAGTATTTGATTAACATTTTTCCAACGTGACCACATCACAGGGACGTGTGGCCGGAATTCTCGCCCTGGCCTGGGTGGAGTGGGATTCGGCTCGTGGCCCAAACGGCTGGGGAGGGTGGGCCTGGACTAGAAGTGGAGGGAACCCTTCAGGCCTAAAGGAAGAACAAGGTCTGGACTGGCATTTCCTCTTGGAGTGGGGGTGGGGGGTTCTTTGATGGGACCTGGGCTAGGTCAGATATCTGGAAAGGGACCAGCCTAGGAGAACTCACCCTTGACCTTTGGTGGCTCTAAGCTGGAATCCAGGGGTTAGAGATTTATTCTTAACAGCCTGTCCTTCACCTTGGACCAAGATTTCTGTGACCCCTGGTTAAGTTATTTCTGTTTTTGTGGTTCAGCGCTTCCCACATGCTGGGTTCTACCTCTGAGTCACACCCCAGCCCCTCACTGGGGGATTCTAGGCAGGTGCTCTACCACTGAGCCACACCCCAGCCCCTCACTGGGGGATTCTAGGCAGGTGCTCTACCACTGAGCCACACTCCCAGCCCCTTACTTTGTGTTGGAGCTCCAGGCAGGTGTATCAGGACCTTAGTTCATATGTTTATAATGCAAGCACTAGGGAGGTAGAGACTGAATGGTCTCTGAGACCTCCCTCCCTCTCTGTCTCTCTCTCTGTCTCTCTCTGTCTCTCTCTCTCTCTCTCTCTCTCTCTCACACACACACACACACACACACACACGTAGAACTGAGGAGGACACCTGATATCAACCTCTACATACCACATGCATGCAGGTGCACACACACACAGGCGCATGAATGCTTACACATCCACTCACACCCTCTTCCCCCCAGATCTCAAAGAGAACTCAATGTATTCCTAGTATTCAGGACTGACTGTGGTCCACCTGATTCCAAAGAGTCCCCCCCCCCCCCGTGCCCCCATAAACCCAGATTGACAGAGTCTCCTCACCTGGCTTTGTCTCAGACATGTCAGCCTCCACCACAGCACAATTTCCCTTCTCCCTGTCCCCACATCTCCAACGCTTTCCCCACCTCAGCAGAGTGTACCAACATGCAAGTGACAGGAAGCAACTGGAGTGAGGCAGGGTTTCCTGTGGCTCACAGTCTGAGGGTGCACAGTCCATCATGGCCGGGAAGGCACGGCGGCAGGAGTGTGAGGCGGCTGGTCACATGGCCTCTGCAGTCAGGAAGCAGAGAGAGATGGATGCTGGTGCTCAGCTCGCCTTCTCAGTTTTAACCTTTTCCCCAATTTTATGTGTGTGCTCAAACTCAAGGAATAGTCTCAATTCTTCCCTCCTCCACCCTACCCTGAGTTCGACTTGTCATGGTGTCACCCTGTGAGAATCCTTTACCGCTGCCCATTTATCTGTTTCTGTTTCTACCCATTGCCATCTGTGTTACTCAGGGCCCTTTAGAAGAACAGAACCCCTGGATTGAATACATATTAAAAGGAGATTTATTAGACTGGCTTGTAAAATATGGTTGGAGTCCTCTAACCATGGTTGCCTCACACCACAGAGGCCCAGAACCTGGCATTGCCAAGTCCAAGAGGCTACATGTCTCAGCAGACCCAATGTGGTACTCAAGGCCTGGAGGATTTCTGGCAAGTCTTTGCTCTTCGATCTACTTTGGAAGCCTGTCTTCCTTAGGGTTTATTATTGCTGTGAAGAGACACCATGACCACGGCAACTCTTATAAAGAAAACATTTAATCGAGGGGGCTCACTTACAGTTTCAGAGGTTCAGTCCATCATGGCAGGAAGCATGGCAGCATACAGGCAGGCATGGTGCTGGGGAAACAGCCGAGTACCCTACATCTTGCAGGCAACAGGAAGTCGACTGACTCACTGGGCATTATCCTGCATATAGGAAACCTCAAAGCCCACCCCCACAGTGACACATTTCCTCCAACAAGGCCATACCCACTCCAACAAAGTCACACCTCCTAATAGTGCCACTCCCTATGAGATTATGGGATTACAGGATTATGGGATTATGGGGGCCAGTTACATTCAAACTACCACAAGGCCCGAAGGAGCTGGTCCCAATATAAAGGAAGGAATAGAGTAGATGAACCCATCAGCAAGAGTGAAGGCCCAAGTGAGCAAAACAGCAAAGTCTGCCTTCTTCCATGCCCTTCTATCCAGACCTCTACTAGAAGGCGATGATCACGTTTGAGCTGGGTCTTCCCATGTCAAGCATCAGTCAAGACAGCCTGTCAATCATCAGCCCAGATAACCCCCTACAGACATGCCAACAGGCTGACCTTGGCTAGGTAATTCATCAGTAGGACTCCCTTTTCAGGTGATTCTAGGGGACAGTCAAAACTAACCAGCACACCATCCCCGTCACGGTTCCTGCCATCCATTCTTGTCACCGGTTCCATTCTGAGGTGTTTGCATTTGAAATACACTCCAAAGGCTCATAGGTTAAAGGCTCCACCCTCAACACAATGTTCAGAGGGGTGGGGCTCTGGTTTTGTTTTGTTTGAGATGGGGGGGGGTGTCTCGTGTAGCCTAGGCTATCCCCAAACTGACTATGCAGCCAAAAATGACCTTGAGATCCTGACTCTTCCGCCTCCACCCCAGGGCTGGGGTTACAGCCGTACGTGACCGTGACCATCCTAGGCTTTTGGGGAGCAGTTGGATCACGAGGACTCTGATGTCACCGCAGGATTAACCCACGGTTAATTCATCACCTGATGGGCTTTGGGAGGAGGTAGGATGCGTGGAAGGTGGGAAGTGACTGGGAGGAATGGTTCTCTGAACGATGTGCTTTATTCCCAGCGTCTTTTCTGTCTTTCTGCTGCCCAGCCACCGTGAAGTGGGCAGTCTCTTCAGACACCTGCTCCTCCTGCCGCCGCCGCCGCCGCCGCCGCCGCCGCCGCCGCCGCCGCGATGTTCAGTCTGGCCACAGGTTTCTAGAAAGGGAGTTGTTTGAGGTGGAGAGAACACTCGGAGACCCTGAGCCAAAATGAATCTTATTTTCACTAAGCCAGTTTGTTCAGGTTCTGGTTACGGTGACAGAAAGTGACCAGCACAGACTGCTATCACCATGACACCTCTCACCCTTGTCAACACTAGCTCCCCCCCAATTCCGCCAGGACTTATGTGTGTCTGTATGTGTATGTGCACAGGCGAGTACAGGCACTCACGGGAGTTAGAAGGAGATATTGGATCCCCTGGAGCTCGACAGGCATTTGTGAGCTGCCTCTTGTGGATACAGGAATCAGAACTCCATTCCTCTGATAGAGCAGTGAGTGTCTGTCACCTTTGAGCTGTTTTTCATCTCCTAGTAATGCAGGTCTTAGCAGGTCACGTTACTGAAATCCACCAATGACTTCCCACAGGCTGCAGAAAAATATTAGAAAACCTACCAAGAGTTTCAGGACAAGGGGAGATGGGACAAGACCTTGTGAATATTGCCAACAGGCGTGATATTCATAGTTAGGCATGGTGGCACACATCCCTAATCCCAGCGCTCTGGAGGCTGAAGACTGAAGTTCAAGGCCAACCTCAGCTATAAACGGAATGTAGCAAGATAACATAAAACCTAAATCAAATAGCATTTGCTACATGCCTGCTGTGTGTCAATTACCATGCTGAGCACTTACAGATATCAGCAACTTGTGCCCACCACAGCCCTAAAATGTGGGGTGGTTACTGAAGGTGCCCCCACCATTGCCCTCAACTCATCTCCATGTAGGAAGGGGTCCCAGCTGAAAGCCTTTGTTCCCACCTCTTTCTCCAGTATGTGTGTGTGTTCTGCTCTGCACTACAGGAAGTTCTCAAAAAATGTGTGTGTGTGTGTGTGTGTGTGTGTGTGTGTGTGTGTGTGTGTGTGTGTGTGTGTGTGCAGGTACCTGCAGAGGCCAGAAGAGGGCAACGGATCCCCTGAAGCTGAGCTGGGAACTGAACTCAGGTCCCTTGCAAGAGCAATACGTGCTCTTAATCACTGAGCTGTCTCTCCAGCCCCATAGTACTCTGAGGTTTGTTCTGATTGGTAGGGATTAAAGGAAGACTCTAGGGACAGGGCAGTCTGGCACTATGACGGGTAGTATGAGTCTCCCTTGAGGAGGTGCGTGCGTGCGTGTGTGTGTGTGTGTGTGTGTGTGTGTGTGTATTGTGTAAAACTTTGCTTCATCCCTTCTTTTGCCAGACACCCTATCTTCTGTGTGACTCAGCTTTCCATACCCACCATTAAATGTGTGTGAGACGGTTAACCTAGAAAAGGCAGCCCAGGGAGATGGTGTGGTGGCTCGAGGTGATGGTGGAGAAGCCACGTGACCCGAGGCGGATCCCTGAGACCTTCATGGCGGAAAGAGTGAGCCAACTCCTGCAGGTTGTCCTCTGACCTCCTCAAGGATGCCACGTACACAGGCTTCCCACGAACAAAACAAATGAAAACAGCGATAAATAAAATAAAAGGGTTATTTTGGCTTAGAGTCTTTGCTGGTTTCTATCCACGGTCAATTCTGGGCCCGTGGGGAGGTCACACATCATGGTGGGAGCATACAGGGTAAAACCATCCATCTCATGACCAGGAATCAAAAGAAAACAAAGAATGGACCAGGCTCCCACAGTCTCTGGGGGTATACTTCCATGACTGCCCATAAGGCCCTGCCACCTCCCATGGGCACCACCCTGGGGACCAAGCCTTCAATACGTATGCCTTAGGGAGACAGTCGAGGTATATTCTTCAGTGCCTCTCTTTCTCTTGCCTTATTGCACAGGCTAGCATCTCCAATCTAGGAGGGCATGGCGGCCGCGCTGCACAGCCATCATCTTTAATCTGTGAGGTATTATTTCCTGTTTGATGGATTTTTATGTCTAGTTCTCAGTTCGTTCTGAACGTGTGAGGGGAATATTATTTACAGGCCTTCAAGCATTCCATTTTATAGATGAGGAACTGTGAGGTGACCCGCCCACACTCACACATTTATTAAGTGGCAAAGTGGTTATCCAGTCCTCTGCCAGTCAGACTTCAAAGCCAGTCGTCTTAATTACTGCGCTATAAAACCTTCAATAAAACATGCCTAAGTGAATAATAATTTAATAGGAGATACTGGCGGAAGGGCAGGGTACCCCTGTAATAGCAGAGCAGTTCCAATAGCTGCAATTATGTAGGAGAACCAAGTACAAATGCAGCCCGCGAACTGACAGGCGTTCTGTAACGCTGGAGGATGAGGGGCCAGCCATTTGTGGTGAGAGGCAATTAGCCAACATTTTATATCTCCTATGAAATGATCTCCAGACAGAGCATAAAAGTTTAAGCGTATGTAAATAAGCGGTGAAACTCTAGACCAGCTTGTAGGAAATCAACGGAATTCTTCTTCACTCTCTGGAAAAGTGTTTCTAGAGGTTCTTCTCTTTCTTTACTATTTCCCAAGGATAACTCAGCCGGAAAAAGATGAGCATGAGCCAACGAGATGGCTCAGTGGGTAAAGGCGCTTGCCACCAAGCCTGATGACCTGAGTTTGATCTCTGGGACCCACTTGGTGGAAGGAAAGAATTGAGTCATGTAATTTGTCTTCTCTCTCTCTCTCTCTCTCTCTCTCTCTCTCTCTCTCTCTCTCTCTCTCCCTGTAATTTGTCTTGTTACCTAAACACATACACACACATGCACACATGTACACACACAGAGGCATGCACACACATAGACACACACACTAGCCCTGTAATTTGTCTTGTGACCTACACACACACACACACACACACACACACACACACACACACACACACACACACGTGCCTGTGCATGTGTACATACACAAAGGCATGTATGCACATACATGCTCATACACACACACACACACACACACACACACACACACACACACACACACATGATGGATGGCAAGGCCACTACTGTGGACATGTAAGACTATGACCTCCTGTACCGTGGGAAGTCACAGCGAATGCCCAGAGTTAACAGTTACTGGGTGGGGAGAAATAGATGCCAACGCACTTGTATGACCTGGGTTGTGGTCCCCAGTTAGACCTTGGATGCTCACAAAAGCTGTGCCCATCCTAGTTCGGCTCTGGCCCTTGATGTCTTCCAGGGTTGGTCCCCAACCCAGGATGCTTCTCTAAGAACAGAGCTCTGTTTGGAGCCTGGCTGAGCCTTTTGTTGTATCTCCAGCCCCCTGTGAGATCTTTTGGTGGACCAGACTCGCTGTGCCCAGAGTTTCCAGCCACAGTCAAGGCCCTCCTGGGGCCGGCCATGGTGGCACCCGGGTTTCTGTCTCGCGGTTCTAGATCAGGCTCACCCAAGGCTGTAGTCACTCTGTCAACTGCCGTAAGGACCTTTCTGGATACAACATCTGTACGTATCCTCTCGAAGCATCCTTAGAAGATTCTAGATGACTCTGAGACCGTCCCCCACACCCCTGAGAAGGGAAGGGTTGCCATGATGCCTGCCCTTCCCATCAGTCCTTGCTTCTCTCTGTCCATCCTGAAACCTTTGTTTGAAGTGTACAGGTGGAGGCTAAATTTATCTATAAGTTAATTTTTTTTGTTTTTTGTTTTTTTTTTCTCCTTAGGTAGGGTCTCATGTAGCCCAAGCTGGCCTAGAACTTCCTATCAAGACAGGACAACTTTGAATGGCTTGCAGTGCTGGGATTCCAGGCGTGCACCGACACACTCCGTTTTACACGATTCTGAGGCTGGGATCCAGCCTTCATAACTTCATAACTGCTAGGCAGTCTTGTTTTGTCAAAGCCTCAGAGAGAAAGCCAGACTCCTTTGCCTCTCTGTTTCCGACCATCTTGTTTTGCATGTTGTATGTTCTTATGCACGCATGTATGTGTGTGGAGATGTGCAGAGCTGTCCTGTAGCTTATTAGCTTCAGGGGATCAATAGAGTGAAGGGCTCTGAAGGGCAATCCAAAGGTTAGGGGCGGGTATCTACTTTTTCCAAAATATGTGTGTGTGTGTGTGTGTGTGTGTGTGTGTGTGTTTGCGTGCACACACATGTGTATGCCTGTGCCGTGGTGTGCATGTGGAGGCCAGAGAATAATTTGTAGAAGTCACTTCTCTCTTCCCACCCTGTGTGTCCCAAGAATTGAATTAGGACTGTCAGGCTCGGTGGCAAGCCTCCTGTACCCGCCGAGTCATCTTGCTGGTCCAATCTACTTGTTGATGACTGGCTGTGTGTCTCTCTCACCCTGGTGCCCCCATAACCAGGCTAAACCTGCCACTGGGGCATAGGATTTTTTTTTGCTGGGCTTTGACTGCAGTGACCTTCCAGAGACTGGACCCACCCGCAGTTCAGACTCGAACTTACAGTCAGACCCTCAGGCACCAACCTTGTGGCTGCCCGGCTCAAAGTCCTGATGGAGGAGGGAACATGTTTTCAAACCCCCCCAGAGCCTGTTCATCTCAAATGGACACTTTCTTCAGTCTGTTCAATACCACCATTTTCCTCTTTCGGCCAGCCATCGGCTGAGATATTTATAACTCACTCCTGGCACTCCATCTTGCCTAATTGGCGGGGCCTGGCGGGGCCCCCATCCGTCATGGTAAGTGGACCTTTCACCAGCCTCTGGAGGGCTCTTGGCCAGCCCGGACATTCCCAGGCCTAGGAGCGGCGGGGGAGGCTGCCCTCCACCCTGCCCGCTCCCAAGGCTGAATCCAGCAGGCTCAGCCCTGCCAGTGGGAGCCCCTGGGAGTGAACATCTGACTAGGGGCCATCTGTCACCTCTCAGCCAAGGGTGACAGGGATCCTTCACAGTGTCTGCCTAGACATTCCCAGCCCTCTCTGCTGGCTGCCTCCCGCTGTCACCGATCACTCCATCCTTCTTAGAATGGCCTCCCTATCTTTGCTCTGCCTGGTATGACCCTGTGGATCTCTTGCCTGCAGGGTGAAATCTCAGATCAGGGCCAACCAAGAGTGTACTACTGGTCCAAACCTGTAATCCCAGCTACCTGGAAGGCTGAGACAGGAGGATTACAAGTTTAAGGTCAGCCTGAGCTACATAAAGTGAGTTTAAGACAAGCCTGGGCAACTTAACGAGGTACAGTCTCAAAATTAAAAGTGAAAAAAAAAAAAGCATTGTGGGTGTGCCTCAGTGGTGGTAGAATGCTTACCTAGAATCCTCCAGTGAGGGGCTGGGGGTGTGGCTCAGTGGTAGAGCACCTGCCTAGAATCCCCCAGTGAGGGGCTGGGGTGTGGCTCAGTGGTAGAGCACCTGCCTAGAATCCCCCAGTGAGGGGCTGGGGTGTGGCTCAGTGGTAGAGCCCCTGCCTAGAATCCCTCAGTGAGGGGCTGGGGTGTGGCTCGGTGGTATAGCACCTGCCTAGAGTCCCCCAGTGAGGGGCTGGGGTGTGGCTCAGTGGTAGAGCCCCTGCTTAGAATCCTCCAGTGAGGGGCTGGGGTGTGGCTCAGTGGTAGAGCACCTGCTTAGAATCCCCCAGTGAGGAGCTAGAAGTCAATAGGTTCAAATCTTAGTACTGAAAAGAAATCTTAGCTGACAGCTGATCCTCTTCCTCTCTGTTTTAGCCACAGTGAACATCATGTTTTTCCTTATGGATAGATGGTCATCTTCAGGCCTGCTTAGCACCTCTAGGCTGACCCCTTGGGGTCCTCCTTAGCCATCTCTGCTCCTCAGAGCTTGTTGTACACCTAACCCTCACCATCTGCCTCCACAGTGTGGGATCCCTGCCCTTACATGCTTAGGAAATCATGCTCCTCAGTCACTGTAATAATCTCATTTGGTCTTTGCTTAACATGGCCTGAGACCTTGGACTCTCCAGGATGATGACTGGAGCTTTCCTTGTGTTAGAGAACAGCCCTCAGCATTGCTGAGAAATCCATCTTTTGTTTTGTCCTTGACCCTAAGGATTAAGTAGCTTCCTCTTGAGGTATTTTATCATTAAGTGTTGTTCATATCTTCTCTTTTCTTCTTTATCTTTTCTTTTACTTTCTTCCTCTCTCTCTCTCTCTCTCTCTCTCTCTCTCTCTCTCTCTCTCTCTCTCAATGGATTCTCTCTATGTAGTCCTGGTACTTGCTGTGTAGACTGTGCTGGCCTTGAACTCACAGAGATCCTCCAGCCTCTGCCTCCCAAGTGCTGGGATTAAAGGCACACACTACCGCACTCAGTCATTGTTTATATTTTCAGTCTTTGAAACTGGGATGTTACCTTATTAATTTGAATTTTATATAATCTTATTTTTTTTGGCTATTTACTTATTTGAGACAGGGTCTTCCTATGTAGACGTAGGCTGGTCTTGAATTTACAAAAATCTATCTGCATCTGCCTCTCAAGTGCTGGGGTGAATGTTCTACATATGTATCTGTGCACATGAGTGCAGGTGCATGAGGAGACCAGAAGAGGGCAGCAGATCCCCTGAAGCTAGAATTACAGATGGTTATGAGCTTCCTAAGATGAGTTCTGGGAACCGAATGGGTCCTCTGCAAGAGCAGCACATATTCTTAACCTCGGAG